GCCACTGGGAGCCCGGGGCCATGCTCCTGGCTGAGCAGAGACACCAACAGGGCAGCCTGAATTTCCAGAGAGGGCAAAGTGCTGTCTATCTCCACCTCCCAAAATCCAGGCCCCTCTGAGCTGGGGTCCTCTGCCAGCCAGAGAGCCCAAGGACGTGTGCATATGTACGCAGAGCCCACAGGGAACCAGCTAGATACAACTTTTGTGGGCAGTGCTGGATCCCAAGGCTGGAGCCACATCCTGTGGATGCTAACTGAGGGCAGGCACCAGCCCCAGAAACAGCCCAGCCTGCTGCTGAGCAGGGTTAGAGTCATCCAGCACCTTGCCTGGACCCACAAACCAAGAGAGGTTTGCTCTATAACACGCAGGATAAAGAGCACAACATACACTGGGTAAAAACACAGTGCTCATCTGCTGAGCAGAGGAAACCAGCACGTACAGGAGTGGGACCATCCTGGTTCAGGACGGGACTGAACAGCAAAGCTCATTTCCTCCCCCAGCAGGTCCCTAGTGACAAATTTCCTGCTCCACTCACTTGTGCTCTTGCTGGCAACACAGCCCTGGCTCACGGATGGGGGGCAGCCCCAAAGGGGGTCCCACGGGAGGGCAGAGGGAGGTCTGGCTGTGGGGCCAGCAGAGCTGCAAGGTGCTGAGCGATGCCAGGCAGGAGACATGTGTGGAGCTGCACGGTGGGAGGGCAAGAGTGGGGATGGGACAAAGCGGTGCTGGCAAAGCCATAAGGGCTGCCTGGCACTATCTCTCCAGTCCACTGGGATCATGGTCCCTGGTACCCCCAGGGATGCTGGCAAAGAGCCGTTGGTGAAACAAATGCTCCAGGTCCTGGGAACAGACCATCCGTAAAAATAACCATAGAAATTTCTCTTCTCTCTGATTACAAAGATACAAAAAGGTAGAAAACCCTCCCTCGCCCCCATGTCCTGGGCTCCGTTTCCATCCCCCTGCCCCTGCCCCTGCCCACCCTCCGCACACACACACACGCACACACCCTGCGTACAAACAGGTCGCAGAGGAAGAGCTCAGCCCCAGTGGGTCAGAGACACCACCCTCACCCGAGCAGGCTCCTGCCATACCTGTCACACGGGGCAGGCGACGGGGAGCGCGGTGGCAG